TGCGAAGAAATATTTTGTTTTTCTAGAACCATATATATTTAATATTAATCAAGTTAGTGAACAAGATACAATTCGATCAATAAATATATATTCTCAATCATCTCCTCATTTACCAATATCATTATCTTCTACATCATCAATTCAACAAGAAGAAAGAACAATATCAAATGTTGATAATGAAATAACACCTCGAACATCATCATCATCATCATTTATACATGAGACAAAACATTTATTAGATATTATGTCAATAAATCAGGATTTACATATGTCAACATTAGCTTCTGAAGTTTAATATGTACATTTTTATGTAACAGTTGTGTTTTCTTTTTTTTTCATGTTGTGGTGTTTTTTCATTCAGTGTTTTCTGTTTCGAGATTAAAATATGAAAATAATTGAAATGTTGCAAAAATTACTCTTGAATGATAATGAGTACAATTAAGATGACAGTAGATCAATAAGAAAGGTAAAAGTCAAGAAATAGAATGAACAGAATCATTGATTTCCTGTTGTCGATGGTATGTGTCTAACAGAATTTCTATTACTGACAGTAGCATAATAATTACAAAATGAGAAGTTAGTGTCAAGTATGCACGTATTGGCCATAAAGCTGTCAGGATCCTTTCCATGTACATCAAAAGACACATTTAAGGTTGCCATGGTGCTTCGAACTGTCAAGATGCCTTCAGAAAGTGTGCTGATGTGTATATCAAGATTAGATGGGATTTCAATGTTAATTATGTCAATGTTTGAATACTATAAACTTCAAGTATTCAGCTGTTGCATTCAAGATTTAAGTACATTAGCAGCTAATAGTGCCGCTTCCAGGTAAATCCTATTTGAAAATGAACGTTTTGGCTTCGCATTCCTACCACAATATAAATTAGATGAGTTCGGATCAAAAGCATCAATTATTTTTCCAATGAATGGCATGAAACGAAGTTATGAATAAAACACTATCTGAATCGTATCTTCTACATTTCTCAAACAAGTGCATTGCATTTTGTGAAATTCATCATGCTGGTGCAATATTCATTTATAGACAACAGGTCTTGGAGAACGTTCGTTGTACGATTTGATTTGTTACCGACTGTTGGGAAAAACTGTATTGCAATTGCTTTATCGATGATTCAACAACTAATACTAAGTTCGAATTATCACAATTGAGTAGTTGAAAAACGAAATTCTTATGTTGTGGTAAAAGACATTGCAGCGATTCAAAAAAAGTACGTCTCTCTCCAAGAACGATCAATATTTACCATCACAGAAGAGGACTCAATCCATTTCATTTTATCCAAGAATTGTTAAATATGGAAATTCATATTTCTGATCGCTTATGATTTTCTAACAGATTAAAAGATTGGATTCAAGAGGATTTTATTCAACTCATACTCTCTGATAAATTGTATATCTGAATTATCCGCGGATCAAATTATTAAAATGATCGAGTTCGAGAAAGAAGTATTGAAAATATTGAAGAAGATGAAAAATATTATGAAATAGTTAAAAATCAAACATGTATTCCAACTTATGTTATTCTCATTGCTTAGAAACCATGTTGGATAATTCAAAATAAAGTTAAATCTTGTACTAGTCAATACATGCGTGACATCATTTTCATGTAAAAGGTATTTCATTTATTTTAAACAACGATGAATACCATACATGAAAGTAAATATAAATCAACATTCGCTTCACGACAAACACGTAAAATTTTTTAAGTAGCAGTATCTGATATGGGAATTCATTCTACTTCAACACGGCAGAACATATTGAACAAATAATTAAAGATAAAGTTGAACAAAAAGTTATCAGAGACCCAATGCAAGTTTTCTTTTAAAGAAATACTCAAAATGAAAATTGTAGAAATTTCGAGAGTTCAACATAAGAAAATCTTCATAATGTTTATTGTTTAATACTAATAAATTCTATTTTTAATGAGCCTCGATTTCATATATAAGTTACGATTTATGCGATTTGAAATCATTGCAATATATCATGTAAAAAATATTATTTCCTACTCTGTAGTAGAAGCATAATTGTTTGTTTCACTGAACTTACTTACGAGAGAACGTTTCTAAGTGTCAAATTGCTTCTAAGTCAAGGCTATCTACATCGTGTAGGTTGTAATGAGCTATGAATACCCAGAAAACAATTAGAGCTAATAGCTTATTACTGCCGAGATACTGTATTCTTTAGTAGAATATCGTGGATCCTGTGAGGAAAACTGAGTTTCGAATTTCGACTTGAAATTTTGCGTAGAGACAAGCGTTAAAGAGAATAGTTTATTGTGAAAGTTTCAGATATTTCGATTGCACTTATTCTGAAATAAGAACATTGAAATTAGTGGTTGTATATAAGTGGCACGAAAAACGTGCTTTTGTCATAGCCGTATCTTAGAATAGAAACAATAAAAAGATTCTAAACTTTTATAGTAAACTATTCTTGTTAAGGCCTATCTCTATGCAAAGTTTCAAGTTGAAATTCGAAACTCAGTTTTCCTCACAGGATCTATGGCATTCTACTAAAGAATACAGTATCTCGGGAGTAATAAGCTATTAGCCCGAACTCTTTTCAGGGTATTCATACTTCATTAGAACTTTCATGGTGCACATAGTTCCAACTCAAAAGCGATATGACACTTAGAAGCGTTCTCTTGTTAGTGCATCATCATCAGCGACTATGTATATCGGCTTGTCCAAGCGTAACGCGATGACGTTTTGTCCACAGTTTTATTAACTTTTCTCAACAATGAGGTTGTCTAGAAGGCTCGTGCTTTCGGTGGAAGATGTGCCTCAGTCTTCCCCCAAACCTCTGAAAATATGAACTCATTTGAACAAGCCGTTTGAAAATTATAGCAGAAATATGTGACGTAACGCGATGATGAACAAGGGACAAAAAGTTGAGGGTGACATGGTTGTTCTTTATTTTTCTGCGGATGTATACTACATTAAAAGAAATGTCCCATAGACGGTAGGTAGCTAAGAGTTTGAGGTATCCAACAGATTAAATAAATTTCCAAACAGGCCCCTTGTTTTGAAGAGTGATCAGTTTCATTAACGTAACGCGATGACGGGCTTGTAACGCGATGACGATGACTTTTGTAATAGTTTTTTTTATGCTTCATTTTGTCATATATACACCTCTGTAAAGACCAGATGTTATATTTATTCTAAGGATTAAAGTATGCACATGTTAAATGCTGTGTTTATTAATCCTTTTAATACAAAAAAAATTGTAAAAAAAAATCATCTAGTTTCCCTAATATGTATAGCAATGCCTGTGTAAGGTCGGGAAAATTCAAAACTTCAATAAATATTTTTTCTCAATAATTTATATGTGGTTAGATAGAGCTCATAAAACTGTCTAAGAAACTGTACTTTAAAATCTTTTTTCACTCTTTTATATACATAAAAAACTCAAAATACTAAGATTATTCTATTACTGAGATCATTCTAAACGGAATGACCTCAGTATTTTGAGTTTTTTATGTATATAAAAGAATAAAAAAAAGATGTAAAGTACATTTTCTTAGACAGTTTTATGAGCTCTATCTAACCATATGTAAACCATCGAGGAAAGACTTTTACTGGAATTTTGAGTTTCTCCGACCTTACGTATATATCATAGAAACGATAAACGATTTTAATCGGTAATTTAATTTTAATTGAATTCAATCAGCTTATTAGACCAATCACCTATATTCTTATGACAATTTGTTAGTAAACAATAAAAACATACATTACTCATAGCTTACAGTGGTTTTTGAATAATAAATCACTATCTGAAAAAGCTTTTTATAGATATGCAAAAAATGTAGAAAACGGTAAAAAACGTCATCGCGTTATGTCAATAATTACAAAACGAAATTTTTTTCAGATAAAAATATTTGCATCAGATAGCCCATAAAAAATTAGCTTTAGGTATGTATTTTGTATAAAAAAAAGTTGAGACAAACCAGGGAAAAACAAACAATACTCATTTTTCGTTACGCGATGACGCTTTCAATTCGGTACTTTTGCTTGATGCGGTAGTAAAAGACACTAGCAAGTAGGAAGTCGGTTGTTTTGCCAAATGATACTTCTGTTACCGTAGAATCAATTGCTCTCAATTATATATATATTCATCACAATGTTTCGATAGAAGGGTTGGACTAATTATAGGGTCCAGATTATTATTCTCCTATACATATTTAGTGACATCTTTATTAACAATTACCAAATATGATTTTCAGCACTTATTAAAAGAACAAAATATATTTCTCTATACTATAGACTGTGCTCTACAAGGTAGCAATGGCGAATTGATGAAATGATGATTTCGAATTCTTGGTCAGCGAGATGACGCGTTACGTGGACAAGCCGATATATACTTTCACCGAAACAAAAACCGATAGATCTTATAATCATCTAGGTATGTTTGTTGACTGATCAGCAAGAAAAAACAGATATGATAAGAAACTGTTCGAAAAGTGAAAAGGCATAACTTCTGCCTGAAGCAACATTTATTTACTGTGGATCATTGTTATATAGTTTCTTGTATGAAAGTTTAAATCCTACTATTCATTCTAGATATCAAGGGTGCAGTATCCCTTAGTAAAATGGCATATCAGCAAGTTACGTACATCAATTTTTTGTTTCGCTCCTTGAATGTTGAAAGTAAAGATGTTTATCATATTATTATAATCGTAAATTACTTTATGATAAAGTTGAATATCATTTATGATCAAGTTTGATTTTGTTTGATCAGTAGTATTAATTTAAAATTTTACTGAACGATATAATTGCATTCTCAATGCTTCTTGTAGTAAGAAAAATTAGACATTACGGATACGTAACTTTTTACTAGTAATTAACGAAAAAAAGAAGATAAAAGCCACATGACTATAGAGAACTGAATATATGAAAGAAGAAAAAAAGAATGATCACTCGACAAAAATGAGTATTTTATTTTTTTGGCAAAACAAGAAAGAAGAAGAAGAAGAAGAAAAAGAAAATGTCCTAATCGGCGAGTCTTGGTCGTCGTTTTAAATCGTTGGCTAAACCAAGATTATCATTACTTGTATTCGTTACTGTCTTTGTACCCATTGTATTAAGTGATGAAGTTGAAGAAGATACTTTAACAGTTGGTTCATTTGTTTGCGTAGACGATAAAAGTGATGATGATGTTCTAACTATATTAGGTAATAAAATTTCACGTGTATATCCATATGATGATCGTAGAAATGGAAGAATCTAAAAACAAAAATGAATTTTTATCAAAAGTTAACAAAATAAGAAAAAACTTACTGTCTCATGTTTAAATACTAATACGATTATAAGTAAAGCAATTATAAATGCTGAATAAGAACCAGTAAGACCTGTTTCACCGTCATAAATTCTTAACTAAACAAGAAATACATTTTTTATAAAGACAAAAAAAAAAGCCAAAGTATGAAATTCAACTTACACGTGGTTCAAAATTAAATGTAAAAAACAAAAATGTTTGATTAGCTGTAAATGTTATTTCAGGTTGAATATATGTGTAAACACTTGTTGATAATGGAGACTCCAATCGAAGAATATAACTCTAAAAAATATGTAATTCTTTTACAGAACTGTTTCAAAATATACAAGCATCTCATTGTCTAGTGCATTTCCCAATAAAAGAAACTTTCATTTAATGTTTAGATAGAGCATACTCGAAATTTTTCTTTCTTTAAAGTCTAAATCAGAGAAGGAACGAGTATAGATTTTTCTCAACCGGTGACCGACCAATCTACCGATACCGGACTGACTGGTAACCGGTATTAGTTTCATTTCAGATCTAAACTGTTTGAGAATGGATAGAAAAATGAATTTAAATAAATGAGTCTATATGTATGTTAAACTCACTTCATTATCAAATGGTAATTGATTAAAATAAGCAAAAGGTGAATTTGTTAATGTTACTGTTTGAATAGGATTTTCACGTTGTGATGCTTTATATAATTTAATCTAAAATTTTCAAAATTGAAAAACAAATATATATATATATACATACAAAATTCAATTAAATTTTACTTTAAGTTGATTAAGAAATTGTGTTTGAGTTTGAACAAAAACATTCATATCAACATCAGTTGGTCGTTTAATTGTATATAAATGTATATCATATAAATCTGCATCAAATATTTCAATAATTTTATTTTTTGGTTCAATTTCTAAAATTTCTGTTTGACTAGAATCACTTGGACTTGAACGATGTTGAAGACGATAACGACAACCAGGTTGAAGTGCACGTAAACGAAATTGTCCATTAATATCTGTTTTAGCTGATTCTTTTGTAACACTTTCACAATGATCAATACCAATAGCATCAATAATTAAACCCAATTCTGGTTCATTATTTATTGATGTTATTTGTCCATAACAACTAAATGCAATTCGTTGTGATTGAAATTTATAAATAACTTCATCACCAGATTTTAATTCAATTTGTGCATCTTCTGGTTGAAATTTATATTCACGTAATTGTGGACGTAAATAATATGTTCCTGATTGTAAATCTTCAAATAAAACTTCACCAGTATTATCTGTTGTTGCTGTTCGTCGACGCATATTATTTGTTGATGATGTTAATAAAAGAAAAACACCATCAACATCTTTTATTTGTACAAGAATAGAAGCTAATTTTTCCGAATTAAAATCATATAATGATGATGATGGACGAGTAAATACATGACCCAATTTATGAATAATAACATGATATGAACGAGTATTTGATAATGGACCAAAACTATATTTACCATTAGAATTTGTCCATGATGATAATAAAAGTATCATAGATTGACCATCAATATCAATTGATTGTTCATGTTCATTATCTGTTGATATTGTATATAATGAAACATTTGCATCAGCAACAGGTGGATATGTTGAACCATGTATAAAAAGACCACGACGAGCAAGAAATTTAACTTGATTAGATTGACAATTATCTGAAGATGTTGTTATTGTATTATGATCAGGTTCAAATAACCATATATCAGATCGTGGAAATATGGAAAATTGTTCATTATTTCTATTTATAACAAAAATAATTTTTTTTTTAAAATAAAAATAATGTATGAAAAATTTATTACTTTGACCAAAATGAACCTGTCCATTTCATTTTATCTTTTTGTAAATCAAGTGTAAATTCACTATTTTGTTTTAAATTTCTAAATAAAAGAAAAAAACATGAATTCAAATATCTTCTGATCGATCTATTGAGATCTAGAAACGACTACTTTTAAAGACACCAGATCTCACCACAAAGTAAAATCTAGTTAAACAAACTGCGAAAAAATAAAATAAAATGAGAAAAAACTGAAGGATTGTCAAATATGTGTCTGAAAGTTGGATACAGCTTATAGATATGGAAGACTCAATGTAAACTAAAAACAGTAGAAGAAAAAACTGTGATATATTTAGGCGTAATATTAAAGAGATGTTTAAGAATTAACAATACTTATTTATTGGCAAGAATAAGTAAGATAAAAATTTTTTTTTGTTTTTTACATTCACTCTGACTATTAGAGATCGATAAGTTTAGTTCTAGTTCGGATTTGAGGATGGCACTTTTGCGTATAAGAAAACTTTTGTTCTACTACTGAAATACTGTTCCAAAGAGAGATTTTAGACAGATCAGTTTCTATTAGAGGAACTGTTTGAAATGCTCTTTCGCTCATCAGAACTGAACTTTGAACTGGAAGCTGGTCCACCAATACTTACTATTGTTTTTGTAAACTAGGACTACCGAGGAAAGTAACCGAAGTGTTCCCTCGACTTAGAGCTCAATATCAATAGCAAAAGCTTAAAAGAATTCGTATCCATGGACTGTTGAAGCTGACTTATGATCACTTCACTGGGTTTTCAATTTCAGACAAAGCATTCATGAAAAAATTAAATAACGGTATGTTGGTCTGAATTTTCAAAACTATTCAATTTTCTAACTTTTCTGTCATATATGATCATTTTTTAGACATCCAGTATCTTAAGAATAAAGCATCCGTTTTGACTGAAATCTTTAGAACATTCCAATAACCATGAGATCTCTTTATGGGCAAAATATCATTATTCGATTTTTCCATGAATGTCTTGTCTGAAATTGAAAATCCGGTGAAATGATCATAAGTCGGCTTCAAACACCACATCGGCACGGATATTAATCGACGTGAAAATCCATCATGTAAAATAGTGGGAAACAGTTTAACAGCAACGTATTTTTTATTTTTTTGTCTATAATGTTAAGCACCTAGCTCAAATCCAGATAGTGATTTTAATAACCACTGCAGTTTTCTATCTAATGCATTCCATAGCATAACTTCATATGATAAGATTTCTAAAAAACTAGACACAGTAGTTTTCAAGTCCCAAAAGACTATTTTTCCGAGATTTGGAAACTACCATGTACGTTCTTTTAAAAATCTTACCGTATGAAATTTTGCTATAGAATGCATTACATAGAACATTCTATTGGCTATTAAAATCACTATCTGGATTTGAGTTAGGTGCTTAAAATTATAAACAAAAAAAAAGAAAATACTTTGTCGGTAAACTTTTTCCGCCACGTTACAATGCGTCATTTCGAATGACTGAAGCACTAAAATCAGCGACACAGAATCTGTTGGACATTTCCTGAAGCATCTTGAAAAATATGGGTAATTCTTATGCTTTCATCCTATTTCAGTTGAATGATCTTTTTTTTTTGCAAGGTTTCCACTTCATCCGAAAAGTCAATCCTTCACTATTGACTGAAATTTAGTTCCTAACGTCTTCCTATTAACTCAATTATGATTATTTTTTCTTTTACTTTATTAAAACTGGAAATGTTGTTGTACTTGGATCTTCATTTTCAGTTTGAATAAAAACAAAAACTTGATATTCAATTGGAATTAAATCAATTGGTATTGATGATGAAGATTTTGATGTATCATAAAAATATTTTTCATTTTCAAATTTCATACAACTTGAAGGTATTAATTCATATAAACCATGATTAGGTAAACATATTTCATTTAAACCTGATATTAAATCAATTGAATGTGTAAAACTATTTTCTTTCAATTGATTTATGTTCTAAAATATGAAACAAAACAAAAACCAAGAAACAATTTGAAATAAAAGAAAAACAATTAAAGCCTTACTAAAATAACTTTATTTGATGTTTGAAGATAAATACGAAGTTTAAAACCAGTTTGTTCGAATTTAATTGTTTTATTTGAATTTGATAAATCAACTTCAAGTTGAGATTCTTTCCAACAATATTTATCATTTTGTTTAGATTTTACTAATGAAACTAAACATTACAAAAGAAGAAAAAAAACAAAACAATTAAGATAAAATAAATTTTTATATTTATTTAAATAAAATAACCTGAATATTTTCCTGGTAAAAGATTATCTTGTTCAAAATGAACTTCATTTGTTTTACTTGATGTTTCAATTAAATCAATTTTATTTGTAACACCATTACGTGATGTTAATTCTAACATTGGTAAATCATTTTGACAATCATCTAAAAGAAAACAAAATCTCTTTCTTGTTATTTTTTTTTATTCTAATTGAATTCAAAAGAAAAAGTGAAAAGAATTACCAATACAATGAATAACACCATAAAGTTTTGCTTTAAGTTGAGAAAAATTTATTTGATCAACCGGTGAACCATGTGAGACATCAACATCGATTTCTTCTGGTGTTAAATGAACTCCCGAACGAATATCAGTATCAGATAATTCAGGCTAGAGAAATAATAATAATAATAATAACTATTAGAAACATTTCTACTTCATGATAAATATAAAACATTACAAATCTCATAATACCTGATTTCTAATTCCGCATCATAGGATGCACTAACGAGTGAAAGCTCCTCATTGATCCACACAGTTTTCAATGTTATTTTGTCCATATGCTGAGGACATTATTCTAAGAAAAATGTTAAGAGAGTTTGAGATGATGAGGTTTTCTTTAAAGATTATGGCCATCTTAATGATTTTTCTATCTAGCGTAAGGGTGTATACAGGAAAAACGAGGAAGAGAATTTCAATCTGAAATATTGCTCATATATAGCAGAGATGAAGCCAGCCTGGATATTTCACGACCGATCTATCGATAATGACCCACTTGCCGATTCGTCTAAAATCCATACCGACGAATTATCATATTATTCCATCTGTGGATACTGATACTTGATGTAGTCAACTTTCAACAAATTTCATTACACATCTTCTATGAGATAATAATAGTAAACATATAAGTAAGATACATCAGTAATGATCGATCTACCGGGAATTCTATTTCTAATACGTAGTTCTCGTAGCCATTAGTATACTAAAGGTTTCAGTGGAAAAAAATGTTGTCTTTTAGAGATAACAATTCTTAACAACTTATTTTATAATTTATAAAGTTCAGAAGTATTCATCTTTTGTTAAACAATTCAATATCCCGATAAGAAAATTTTTTTTCTATCGAAACCTATGGAGAGTTGTAAGGACCATGAGAATTACATATGAGCAATATATCAGATTGAAATTCTATCGCTCAATTTTTCTGTATTTACTTTGTGTTAGATGCAAAAACCAATAAAATAATCATAATCTTCAAAGAAAGCTTTATTAGTCTAAACCCTCTTTAGATTTTTTCGTCTCCTCAACGTGAGAACAAAATATCATTGCAAACGACGTTGATCAATTGGAAATCTTCCCTCACAAGGATGGACTATTTTTCGAATACCGAATAGAAAAAGAAACACGAGTTTAAAAATCAACAAATGAAAAAACATTATACATTAAAATACTCCATAACTGATTATGAGTGATATTTTACTAAAAACTTTAAGAGTCGCTAGAACCTAAAAATTTGAACCTATTGAATTCAATTCTAAGAAAATGACATTATTGTGACTAGTTTGAGTCTATTAAAATGGTCAAGTATATATATATATATACTAACTTTATCTGATGTATTTTTACAAGCGTTTGATGCTCGTGGTTTTATACAAAACATGAAACGATAAATTTTATATTAATGCAAAATGATAGAAAAATCTGATTGACGTGATTTCTATCTCTAACTGTAAGAATTCTTCTTTCTCGTCTCATAGATAAAATGAAAATCAAAAAAAAAAAATAATCAACATACAGAAAATGTATAGACACCTGGAGTAACATAAACTGAATATTCTGTATTTGGTTCAACTTCAAATCGTTGAACTATCTTTTTTTCTGAATCAGTATATCGAATTGTTTGTTTTCGTATTGATGAACATTGAACACGACCAGTAACACGAACTCTAAATATTTATTTATTTATTTATTTAATTTTTATCTATTTATTAAATAAATATTATTTACTTTTCTGGTGAAAGAACAAGTGAAGTTGAACTATCACCAATACCAATAAGACGATTAAGATTAATTCCGTATGTTAATTCTTTGAATATATAACCATCTAATTCACTTTTTATTTTAATTGTACCTGTTGGACGAATATGTGTTAATTTAAATAAACCATTTGAATTTGTTTGACAACAAGATTTTCCATCGATACTTATTTGAACATTTGATAATGGAATTAATTTATCCTTAAAAGAAAACAAAAAAGGAAAATAAAAATAATTAAAGTTAAATAACAAACTGTTTTTATTGATTTAACAACACGACCATAGAATGATATTGTTCCAGTTTCAAATGGAGTTTGAACAAGAAAATCCTTATGTGTTATTGTTATAGCTTTTTGATCTGGTATAAAAACAATTTCAAGTGATGGTGTTGCATATAATGGTAACTTGAAAAAAGAAGAAGAAACAAAAATTATTGAAATATATAGCAAAAAATAAACAAACCAAAATGTAGAGACCAATAGGTACATCATCGAATATATATTCTCCTTTAGTATTAGTACGTGTTCGACAAACAAAATTTTGTGCATTGACTGTTGGTGGTAAAAATGACATTTCATTTTTATTCAATGGTCCATCATGAGAACATGTTGGTGATGGAAGATTATTTTCACTAGACGATGCACGAAATAATAATACATCAATAGAAATTAATGGTGATGATTGATGTACAACAGTTCCCTGACATAAATAACAAAAGAAAAAAATTCGTCTCTATGAATTTAATAATAAAAAATAAATTACTTTAAGTGTATAACCAAGAACAACAATTGGCTTTTCAATTTCCCAACGTTCTTTTGATAATTGCACATGTGATGTATTCTATAATAATTAATGAAATTTTTAGATTTTTTTTTTTGTTTTTGTTTTCGTTTTCAATTTACTGTTACGAATTTCCAATGATCATGACTACCAATGACTGTATATTGTCCAGGTAATACATCAAAGAATTCAAATCTATAGAAATGAAAATTTTAATCAATTAATGAATAATATTTTAACTTGAGACTTAAGATGTATGAGATTTAAATACGAAAATAAAATTACATATTGCACGACTGAAAACAAAATTTATAAAGGACGTTCACAAAAATGAATGGCAATCGTTATTCAATAAAGAACATTACAACAGTTTCAAAATCTTTTAGTATTCTTGAAATAGATTTCTCAAGACTACAACCAAAAAATATAATCTTACAAATACATCTGAGAATTTGGCAATGCATTAGTCACAGTCGGATTGATATCCAAACGGGCAGGTATCCAGATGGTTAAACACTCAGTCAGACTCTGTGCATAAAGTAGACACCAGTGAGATATAAAAAACTTCAAGAGAATAAGTCTTCTTAGACCTTCTATTCAGAGTTATCAGTATTTTACTGGAATTTTAGGATCTGGTTTGGTATATACCCATAAATCGAACCGCAGCATTTCGACTCGAGATTTTGCTCACAGATAGGTCTATTTGTTGATAGAATGCTATGAAAATTTCAGCTTAAAAGAATATTTCCTTCCCGAGATATTAAAGTCCTAAAAATCAAAAAAAATTCTATCGTCTTCCATGGAATATGAATGTTGTTTTTTTGAACTTTAATATCTCAGGAAGAAAAAATTCTTTTGAGCTGACATTTTCAGAGTATTCTATCGACAAATAGACCTATCTGTGGGCGAAATACCATCATTCAATTTATTAGTGTATATCAAGCCAAACTCTAAAATTTCAGTACGATGCCTATAACTCTCAACAGAAGATCTAAGGAGACTTATCATTTTGAAGTTTTTTCTATATCTTACTAGAGTCTACCTTATTCACAGAGTTCGAATTCAAGAAGTGATTGATCAGTTGAAAACATTCTCTTATGAGATTGCATCAATAGATAATAAAGAATAAAAATGTATAAACATTGACTTCTCTTTTCTAAAAATCACTTTAAGTATGTCTTTATTTATGATCAACATTGTCATTTAACTATCTATAGTGCAAGTTAATAAAAATTATTAATCGAACTTACGTTCCATCAGCTTTCGATTTAGTTTCATTTAATTTTTTATTATCTTGATATAATGTTAATGTCACACCGGCTGGTCCACTACTCGTACTACCTGCACTTATTACCTAAGAAAATAATGCAATTATTTTTTGTTCTTGTTCAAAAAAATGATTCAACATACACGTCCAGCTAATCCAAATCCTTTAAAAACAAAATTAAGATCATGATTTAATGTACATGAATCTGTTTCTCCATCAACATTTAATTCATATTGTGATGGTTCAAAACTCCAACCGGCTGGAGGAAGAAGTTTAAGAATATATTCACCATGTTCATACACCGGAATCATATAACTAATTGAAAAATAATATATATCAATATTTAATTCATAATAATTATTAAACTTACTATCCATTAATTGGAGCAGCTTCTGTTGTATAAATTGGAATGCCATCTTTTGTAATTAATTGTATCTATAGAAAAAACAAAAGAACAAACGAAGAAAATAATATTTTTTAAAGTAAAAAAAAAACATGGTTATTTACTCGAACAACTTTATAATTAATATCTGTTTCAGATTTAATAAAACCACCACAACCAATTACATCAGAATTTAGTTGAGTTTTTCCATAAGAAAAACATATTAGAAATAAAATCAAAAATTTTAACATCACTTTCTTTTTTGTTGAATAAAACAAATATGAAATAAATGAATTCAGAATGAAATTTCAATGATTGGTATATTAGTTACCATAAATGTTGCTAAAATAACCTCGATAATACGAACTACTATTGCCCTCTATCATATTATATGTAAAAAACAATCTTTTTCTCCAGCGACTAAAAATAAAAAAAAATATCCTGTTCTGTTTTATCTGTTCTTTCTATGATAAATATTTTTTTGTAGGAAAAAAAAAGAAAACGATAAGAAATTCGATATTTTATTTTTTTTATCCATTTATTCTAGGCATTATTTTTGATGTATTACAAACTATAAGAGATTTAGTATTAAATAGCATTGAGCATGACGGAAAATCCTTTGTTCACCTAACTTTATCTAATGAATATTCAGTTTTATACATATATAGGTCAATAAATTTATGTAATGTTTTTCTCTGAGATTATCTATCCAGGCGTAATTTTTTGGATGTTTTGTCCCGATTGACATCATCCGATCAATAATATTTGCCATGCATGACTACATTTACATTGTATTTAATCATAATCATCTATTTTTTTGTTAATATGCATATGTATGTACATAGATACCTATCTTCTTGTTTTCATTTTGTTTTTAAGGTTATTTAACGAAATACTTAAGTTAAGGTTATCATGATTTTGCGAATAATTGATTAGAATAAGATGTGGTATTTTCACCTAGATAAAAACATGATTGCGTGATTGGTATATATGTTTATGTGCATTTAAGGATATTTTTTTTATTCTTTAACGTTGTTTTTTTCTTCTTTTAATTCTTTCCGATATTTTATAGATTAGGTGAAATATATTCACGTATAAGTAAGTGAGCAAGAAAAAAAAAATAGAAAAAAGAATTGCTAAATTTCTTTTTTCAGTCGAGAAAATTGATAGAAGAAAAGAAAACAACATATATATATTTTTTTTCCTTATATTTTTTTTCTTTGATTCTTTTTTAGATTATTCATCTTATTTATTTAACTAGTAGATCGAATTGTTCTTCTTAGTGTACATCAAACTAACCATTTATTTTCATTATGTTCTGTAACAGAACAATTAATAATTGGGACTTTTATCAGTTTAATATAAGTTATTGTTTATCTATACCAAAAAATAAATTATATTTAATGACTAATATTATTTAATATTTTCTCTTGTTTTTTATTAGTAATTCTTTTACGCATTCATTCTTTCTTTCCTGTTTTTTTTGTAAGTTAGGTTAATTCAATTTTTTTGATTTCCATTGATTGAATTGATTGATTGCTTGAAGTGTCTCGCGTTAGTGTGATAATAATAATAATTTATTCCTGTAAACTTTTTATCTTGTAAAGTATTTGTGTATTTTATTTTTCTTACAAAATGATTTTTCTTCACATAATTATTCTAAGTTCAATGATAATGAATATTGAAACAATTTCAATTTTCACTAAGTTAAATAATAAACAAAAGGTAAAATTATTTTCCATTGTTTTTTATTTTATTTTATTTTTGTAAATCTTTCATTAAACATATTTTTATTTTATTTAAGACTTCTCGACAACATGTTGTAATGATGAATGGAAGCAAAAAAGAAAAATTTCATACAGCTGATGAACACAAATTACCATCTGAACGTTCAAGAACTTATTTACTTACAATGCTTCCAGTTGCTAAAGGTGATTATGTTTTTAATGGGGAAGGAGAACAAGAATGGGAAATACAAGGAAATACGAATGCGGAATTTACTATTTATGGTACGTAAGAAATAAAGAACCTGGTTAATGAGATATATGTTATGAATAATGATTTATTACAGAAAAACATAATTTATGAAAAATATAAATGAGTATATTGTCTACTTCAAATTGCGAGGTGTATTGCTATATTTTTAATAACTTTTGATTAACGAAAATTCTCAAGGGCATATATTTAAGTTAAGGTCAACTCGTTAGGTACTAATAATCATTGAATGTTTTTCAAAACATATACATACCTACGTCATTAATCGCAAATTTCTATTTGAGTTTATTATTCATCGTTTGCAATTATTAATTAGGAAAAATATCTTATAATCATAATTTATGTACGAAAATTATTGAATATATCTTGATTCGATTCTTCTTAACGATGTTTAACTCATCGACTGTTGGCAAAAAGAAAAACAAATTATCCATCTAATATTTTTTCTATTCATTTTTACATATATTCATAATAATCAATTTAATTTATTTTAAGGTGAAAATCTCGATGGTGCCGAACTCTCATTTACAACTCATTCGGAATCATGTGAATGGGAACGTAAAGATAAAATATATACTTTAGAAGTAGATCAATTCGATCCACATGAACGTATGAGTGAACGTGCTTATATCACTCTTAATTTACCTTATTATAATTCCACTTTATATATGTGTTTAAGACCAAGTAATACTAATGAAGTATTTCATCAAGGAGATCGGTATTATTATTTTTTCTTTCGAAATATTTCTTTTATTTGATTATTCTTCTTCTTCTTTTTTTTTGTTTCTGTAGACCTGGTTTAAAAATTCGAGTAACTCGTCGTGCTTTACCTGTTTGGACAACAATTCTTTGTTTAATATTTCTTTTAACATTATCAGGTCTTTTTTCTGGATTAAATCTTGGTTTAATGTCATTAACACCACATGATTTATTAGTTATACAAGAAGCTGGTACACCAAATGATCGTAAATATGCTAAACATATATATCCTGTACGTAAACGTGGTAATTTTCTTTTATGTACTATTTTATTGGGTAATGTTTTGGTTAATTCAACAACAACAATTTTACTTGATACATTAATTAGTGGTGGATTAGCTGTTGCTGCTGCAACATTAGCAATTGTTATCTTTGGTGAAATTATTCCTCAAGCTATATGTTCTCGACATGGACTTAAAGTTGGTTCAAAAACTATTTTATTAACACAATTTTTTATGATATTGACACTTCCAATTTCATTTCCATTGAGTAAATTACTCGATATTATTCTAGGTAATATATTTGAAAATACTCATAGAAAATATAATGGTATGATATGATTTGAAGTTCTTCTAGTCTATAGACATTTGTTTGTTGTCTAATTTTTGAATAAGAAATTTTCTATTTCGTTGTATATTGATATTAGAAATCTACAGGACAAATTTTATTGCCCGTCCTGGGATTACAAAAAAAAAATGTTGTCTCAACCGGAACTAAAGATTTTAAGCGAATCATCTTATAAATCATCAATCAGAGAATAATTCAAGAGAGATGACCAAAAAAAAAAACTACTCGTAGTTGACTAAATAAACCGAGTATTGAAGAATTCTTTATAGATATGATATGAATAAATTCTGGAATAGTTTACTCTAGAAAAGAAGCTACCGCGGGACCGATAAAACACCTTGTTTTCGTACATCTCTTATTGATACAGAAAAATCTTTTACTATGATTGAAATTGTAACATAGAAAGAGAGTAAACAATGATAACTTGACTGATTATGAAAAATGAGATTGCGTACAAAGTCATTCGTTCAATATTATAATTATGGATAATTGATTTCAATACATCGCTCAGGCTGAATGAAACCGAATAATAGAATGATGACATAATTCAACTTATTCGAAGTACTGATAGAATTATGTTATAAGATCATCAAGCATGAATTTCATTTTATTTGTATTATTTAAAAAAAGAACATGTTTTTATTGTATAATAATATAATTTTTGTCTATTTTATAATTTAAGGAGAAGAAGTTGGTGCACGTTATACACGTGATCAAATGAGTGCTTTATTAAAACATACAGCAACAACTGATATTGAAGATCGTGAAAAGATTATTATGACCGGTGTACTTAGCTTAAAAGAAAAAAAAATTCGTGTTGTTATGACAAATTTAGAAGATGTTTTTATGCTTGAAGCAAATCGTATTGTTGATGATGAACTTGTTTTAAATGTTTATGGTTTTGGTTATTCAAGAATACCTGTTTATGAGAGAGAAAAGTCTGATTATTTTCATATATATATATATATATATAACAAAAAAAAACAAATATGAATTTTTCTAATTTTTAGAGATAATATAGTTGGCCTTGTATATGCACGTGATTTTGCTTTACCTGATACTGAGTCAGGAAAATTTACTGTAAGACATATAATGAGTTTTTGTAAACATCGTTATGGTACATCAATTACGCCAGATGATTCAAGTTATGATGTATTTAATTTATTTAAAAAAGGTTTATTTTAAAGAAAAATATTTTCATTATATTTCGGTTTATTTTCTTTTTCTTTTTTGTAGAACAATACCATTTAGGTGTTGTTGTTGAATATGATAATACAAGTGAAAAAGATCCAAGAGCAAGAGCTGTTGGTATTGTTACATTAGAAGATATTATTGAAGAAATGATTCAAGAAGAAATTGTTGATGAAACAGATGTATTTAGTAAGTAAAACAAAACAATACTGTTATATATATCTATAAAATCAGAGATAGAGATGTGAACACATTGACACACGTATTGACTACTGTCTTGCCACCGAGTTAGGCACCCGGTTTCCCTTGAAGTATGGATCCGGATGCCGGATATGAAAAAAAAATGTCGATTCGGATCCGGCGTATGATCTTATAGTAGAGACTCGATCCAGTAATTAATGAACGCTCGATATTGCCAAGTATTTTTACTTTGTCAAAGTGCTAATTTATATAAAAGTATAGAAGTGAAAACCTGAGCAATTTATTGTATTTGAAAACAGATGAGAGACGTGAAAATGCGATATTGTTTTACTAAAAGAATTCGGTTTTAATAAAAACTTCATCCACAGATGATGATAAATCATATTATAAAGTAACTGAATACACTGACAGGAAGATGAATTATCACAAAGGTGAACATGTATGATCATGATGGGAAAAATACATTCATGTATGTATGTATCTATAATTATAATGTTCGGCACCAATACTGTCGTTCCATAGTAACATAATCAGCAATAAACAAACGTATAGTTAGCGAAATTAATTGGATTTAAGAAGGAGAAAAATACCAAGTGAACCTTGAATCAATTGTTGTTTTGTGAAATTTAAGATGATCGCTTTGTTTTTTTGTTGCTATTTATGGAAGAAACTAAATAGTATACTTTTTCATATATAATAATAGTTTGTAAAACGTACTGTGATTGCGAAAGTATTTGCCGCATGTCGATTAGCTCCGGTTGCAAACATTCGTATCTATACAAGACACTAGTGCAGACGAGCATATAAAATATACTATTTTCAATAATATTCTCTCTAAATGTTAGAGATTCATTCTAAGATTATAAATCTAGGAATATTTTTGTATTGATGCACTTCACGAGAAACAGATATTACCTTGTCATTAAAGTCCTATAGTGTTCTAATCACTATACCAACGCTATATAAGCAAAATATCATTAGAAACTTGATCGACCAGCTGAAATTTTTCTTTCACTTCTAAGAATTAATTTAGCTGAAAGGATAAGATATGAATTGAACAATTTTCATTCGTTAATAACTGTTATTTCTTCTTCTGCAAAATATTTGTCGTACGTGTCTGATCGTATCTCTCATCTCGTCTCTATTCATTTTCAATTTTTCGAATATGTTAAGACGATTTTGTAAAATATATATTTGTTATTTAGCTGACAATCGTAAAAAAGTTCGCAATGCTCTTTCTCAAGCACCAGATTTTTCTGTTTTTATTCGTCAAAATGCAAATGAAGTAGTAAGTAGAATCTCAGCACAAATGAAAGTAGCTGTTTTTCAATTTTTATCAACAAGTAAAATTGTTTTTTTTCTCTTGTAATTAAATTCTAAAATAATATTTATATATTTATATAGGTATTGAACCTTTCAAAGATAAATTTATTTCATCTAATATTTTAAGTCGTCTATTAAATGTTGATCTGTTTAAAGAATATGAATTTGATGAAGACGAAACTAAATCTGGTAAAATTACATATATATATGAATATGGTAAACCAGTGGATTATTTTGTTCTTATTGTTAATGGTAATGCAGAATTAGAAACAGGAAAAGAAAAAATTGTTAGTGAAATTGGTTCATTCTATTATTTTGGTGTTAGTGCACTTTGTGTAAGATATTTACATTTATTATTTTATAAGAAAAAGTAGAAGACAAAAATAAATTTTTTTTCTTTAGAATCCAGATGAAAAACTTGATGATCTGATACGTTCAAAGTCTAATAGATTTCGTCCATTTATACCTGATTTTAGTTTACGTGTTAGTGAAGATGTACAAATTTTACGTATACGTCGTGTTCATTGGTTAGCTGCTGTACGTGCAACTTATTTTGAAAAAAAACAAACAGCTAATGGTGATGCACCAATGCTTGATTCTGATGGTGAAAAAATCGATTTATTAATACAAGAATTAGAAAAAGCTGATCACGTTGATCCATCGAATATTATTGGCTGTGTTACAGGAGAAATAACACACGAACGAGCATCATTATCGGCATTAACAATAGCATCAGATGGTGGTATTGAACATGAAAAAGTACTAACACAACGTCAAAAATCAAGTCATTTATATAGTTCAAATAAAATGTTACCCGATAGTCCAATGAATTCTGGTAGAAATTCACCAGTATTAACAAACAAACAACGACACACAATATTGCGTTCAGCTACAACACGAACACCACCGCCATCATTAACTAACAAAAGTCTATCATCAATCAATCGTTCATTGACTTAGTATTTGATATTTAGACACTATGTGTGTGCGTGTATATATATATATAGAATAATATATGGAATATAATTCTATCTTTTTCTTTTTGTAGGACAGTCTTTTGTTTTTTCAAAGTTGCTTTTTCTGATTGTTAATTTAATCTATAAAAAAAAATATTTTCTTTTCAATTTTTCATCTACTAAATAAATTTAATTATATTAAATATTAGCATTGATATGTCTAATAATATTATCTTCTTTATAAAATATATGTAAAAATTAAAATAAAGTCTATTAATAAATGACACAAAAGAAGGATGAATACAAAATCTTCTCTAGGAAAATATCAATTTAATTATTTCAATTAAATTATGGATAATTTCCTATGTATACAAGATCTTTGATAATATTTTTAGACTATTGACCTTTGTTTTCGTCTTTCGGAATATATTATCGATAACAAATGTAGTGGAAAAAAGTTTTATAACAACATATTTTTGATTGGTTATTTTTCGATAGTGTTAAGCGTCTAGCTCAAATCCAGATAGTGATTTTAATAGGCAACGGAGTTTTTTTCTCTAGTGTGGACTCCGAACTAGATGAACCATGATGACATGATTTTTAAAAAAACTGAATATAGTAGTTTTTAGGCTTCAAATACTATTTTTTAACAATGTCATTTTAAAGAGTACAAAACGAGAAGTCATCACATTTTCTACGACTTTCACTTAAAAGGTCAAAAGTATCACAAAAAAACATTTTTCAATCGTTTTTTTTGATAAATTTCATTTTTTGTGATAGTTTTAACTTTTAAGAAAAAATCGTAGAAAATGCGGTGATCCCTCATTTTGTGCTCTTAAACATGATATTGTTAAAAATTTTCGTCTGGAACTTAAAAACTACCGTATCCAATTGTATAAAAACCTTACCATATGAAATCTTGTTAAAAAATGCATCCGATAGAGAACTTCTTTAGCTATTAAAATCGCTATTTGGATTTGAGTTATATGCTTAACACTACAGAACACAAAAAAATCGAAAATCTATTATCGTTAAACTGTTGTCTACCATCTTATGTACCAATTCTAATACGACCGAGAAAAAAAAGCAATTATAATTTACAATTGTATTTATTTGCTTTGTTATATTAGTGAGATTATATTATAATACTTATTCAAATAAAAATTAGAGAAATGTTAATGCTCGAGCATCTGTAATTATTTGATTCACATAAGGGATGCAACAGTGAAAGCATTGAGCACATAAATGATTTATAGAAATAATCAATCGTGTCGGAGCACTTGCCTCTCACCGCACAACATCTCTAAAGAACGGAAAAAAATTGATTATCATCGTATGTTTATCTTGAACTCATTGACTTTATCTATTACAAACAGTCACGTTTAAAGTACACTCTTATTTTTTTGAATATTTTTCTATAGACAAAAATTTGAGTAATGATAAATATCTTGTACAATGGAATCAATTACATCATTAAAAACTTTGTATACACGTTAATTATCAAAATGTAGTTGATACTTTTTTTGTTTCGACAACAGCAAATTAATTTTAATGGTCATGGGGAAAATATTTCATCCACGAGCATTCTTCGTAATACTTAATCAACCACAATCAAAATAGACTATATCATAAGACCAAATTTTTTATGCAACGCCATTTCTACTAGTTATTTATAGTATCTTGTCAAGGACACAAAAAAAAAGAAGCTAAAGAACAACAACAAGAGAGCTGTGTATTTCATACGTCATTCTACAAGAATAGAACGAAAAAATATAGTATAATCTATAGTACTCTAAAATACACACACAAACATTATTGTAACGATTATGGAGTCAACAGTAACTAATACCCGTTTATTTCAATATGCTAAAAAAGAAACAACACCTTTCCGTTTATTTATTCAAAAATTTCGACATGATTGGTCATTCGTTCTTGCTGCTATGTTAGCATTTAATATATTACTTGCAATATTACCTATGGCTATAACATTATTTGGTATACTCGGTCTTATTATTGGTAATCGTCCTGATTTACAAAATCGTATAAGAAATCATATTGTTAATTCATTTCCACCAAAAGCTAATGAAGGTGTACGAGAAATAATAAATATGGCATTTAGACGATTACAACATGATGCTGGAGTTATATTAGCAATTGGTATAATATTTGCTATTCTTGGTAGTTCAAGATTATTTATTGCTATTGACCGATGTTTAACAATAATTTATCGTGTTGAAGAACGAAAATTTCTTAAAAAACGTATATTAGCTATTGGTATGCTTTTTCTTTTTCTTATACTTATACCATTAATGGTAGCTGCATCATCAGCCCCATCATTACTTCTTGGTGCAATTCCAAATGCTGGTGGACGTTTTGGAGTATATATTGCTGGAATTTTATTAAGTTTATTTTTTTCATTTATTTTTTTTGAAATTATTTATTTAATTATACCAAATAAAAAAATGACATTGAAACAAACATGGTGTGGATCAATTGTTGCCGCTGGTGCTTTACAATTATTTATGATACTTTTTCCACTTTATGTAACAAAATCTTTATCAAGTTATACAGGTCAAATTGGTATTGCAGTTATTTTACTTTTATTTCTTTTTTATGCAGCTATTATAATTGTATTAGGTGCACAAATTAATGCTTTCTTTTATGAACATATTCAACCATTACCTGTTTCACTTGGAACATATATTAGTAAACTTTCTCATGTATATCGTTATGATGAAACGAGACAACCATTGAATATTTAACAATAAAAATATGATATGTGGGATAAATTTAATCGATGTACTTAACGAAAACTCTTGCTTTTTATATTCAAGATAAAACTAACTTTATTAACTAATTTTTTTTTTGCTTGTACCATGAGTACCTACATTTAAAGTATCGGCTTTTTGTACATAAAGTCTCAGCAAATAAAATTAATCAAGCTTTCGTTCAATAAAATATTTAAACTAGTAATCGTGCTAAACTACTCACAATCACTTTGTTTCAAAACAGTTTTTGAGAGTATTTTTCAAATCATCTTTGACTTAAACAAAAAACAAAAATATCATAAGCCTGGTTAAGATATTCAATATAACGCTTAGGTATTGTTTTGATCAATCAAAATCTGTTGGACTTGATCGATTAAAGAAAAAGCAATAAATTCATTGAGTATTCTTAGGTACTCACTGTTTGATTACTCACACATAAATGGGCATAGGCTGTTCGAATCAGAAGAGTTCCGAATAATAAATCTTCATCATTTACATATTAATTGAGTAAGTTAGTCTCATAAGGATGTTTTGTATATTTTCTTACAATGACTCATTCAATGTTCTTAAAAAAGAGGACAGACTTCTAGTCATCAATTTTATATCTAAAGTACTCTAAAACCACTTATCAATTCAACGAAGAGGCAAAGTATATCAGCTAATGCACAGAATAGAAAAAAAGCCATTATTACAATATTCAAACATCTATCGTCATAAACATGTTTTTTTTTACTATCTCGCATGGAAATGTGTCATCATTAGTTTCTACTCGTCTGATCTTTTAGGTACAATACGATATAGTTTTCATGTACTTATCTAATTGATGAATTTGATTAATCGAATATATCTGAATCATTGCATTAATATTTCTATAACCAAGAATGGATGATATTTATATTAAATTAAAGATATATTCGAAAAATCCTTTTCACAAATGTTCTTAAAAAGGACAATGGTATGTCGATAAGCATAGCTACTATTTTATATCTTTGCTGAGGTAAAACGTTAATTACATTGATTCCGTATTGTATTATCTGCAAAAATCAGTAGTTTTGGTATGGTCTTTGTATTTGTTTTTCGAAAAAAAACCTAATATTTTACGATGCGTCGATAAAATAAACAAAATAATTACAGTGAAACTTTTCTATTGTGAATACAATCGAAAGCATTCAAAAGTGTTCACTATATGCGGAGATATTCACTTTAGAGAGTTGAAGTATCGTTTGCAGTGAAATAAAGAACAGATTCCAGAAAAATTCGCTTCTATATTAGTCATAGATAAAGGTCTTGTTATTTATTCTCTTATCATCTGAATGACTTGAATTGAAAGATTTTTCCAATACAACACCAAAATTTAATTGTTTTTTTTTAATAGAATTTTCTAATGTTGTTTATCTTTTTTGTTTTTGAATTCATTTTTTTTTTGTATTTTCCTGTACAAATCATTGATTGTCTAGTTTTTATGCATTGATACCATTTAATTTTCATCTAACACATTGATTCTGATTTGTTTCATAATCATTTCCAATATTCTATTTTATGTTTTAAAATATTTGATACAAAAATTGAATGATATATGATATTTTTCAATCAATTTTCATTGTAATAAATCATTACCATTTTTACTGTCATGAATTAATAGTATTTTTTTGTTTTCTTTCAAACTTAACTCGTGTCGTGATGTAATTCTTTATACGTATAATAGTCGAATCATACACAAAATGCACGTGCTCGTAGTGCATACGAAATAGATGAGAGAAAAGAGAAAGAGAACAAAAAAATTTATTCATATTAGAGAGATTATAATATCAACAGGGACTGCAAAAAATTTGCTCACTGTCCAGAGTAAGGAGGTATTCGCTAGTAAAAGTTTTACTGTATTCATGTTACTCTACTATTGTTATAATTTCAAATTTTAATGACTTATTATATACATGACAATAAAATTGCATCTGACTATAGACTGTGACGGATAATTTTATAGGTTCAATTGTGATAAGAAGGAAAGTAGGTATGAAAATATGTTTCAATTTCTTTTCCTCTATATATGTAAATTTTGATTTCCATGAGAACAATCTCTTTGATAAAAACAACCAAAATCATATCAATATGTGCGTATAATAAAAAAATTTACCCTTCAAATATTGAAATTGAAATAATATTCCTCGAGTTTATAATGCCTATTCAATCTGCTTATCAACACTATCTATTTAACACATCAAAAAAAAATCACAACAGATGTTTCTATTTCAGTATATTTGACATATTCAGGTATTTATAATATTAAAATAGAATTGACGATATGAAACCGATTCGTCTAGATTGAATCTTGCGTAATACATGTTCCATGTAATTCCTAAAGTATATCGTTGAATAACAAAAACAAAAAGCCGTTATTTATTTTTGGATATATTTCGTTAAATTTTTTCTTTTTCTTTTTCTTTTATTAAATTTGATCAGTAAAAGCCGAAAATTCAAGAACAAATAATTTTCCTTTATATTTTCACAAATTATTGACAAAATATATTTGAATGTTCTTTATTGCTGCATTTAGGATTTTTCATTTTATTTATCTTGATGATTTATAACAGAAAAACGGTCATATACCCTATACGGATGATGACGATGACTATGTCGTCCTGAAATAGTATTGAGTCCCCATGGTTTCATATTACGTTTAAAAAAATCATTGCCTGATAATGAATCCAAACTCTATTTGTATTAAAAAAAAAAAAAGAAAAAAGAAATCTCTTAATTTCTATAATAATATTTAAAAAAAAATATACCTTTTTGAAAAAATCATTTCCACTTAATGAATCCAAACTCTAAAAATACAAAAAACAAAAAAAATAAAAAAAATATATTTGATTTAAATAAATACCTTCTTAAAGAAATCATTGCCAGATAATGAATCTAAACTCTAAAAGAAAAATTAAATTAAAAAAAAAACAATAATAATAACAAAATCAAAACAAAAAGTATACCTTCTTGAAAAAATCTGAACCCGATAATGAATCTAGAGTGCGTTTCTATTTTAATAGAAAATGATAACATATAAATATTAATTTAGCAAAAAGAAAAATCAAGTACTTCGTCTTCACGTTTGAAAAAGTCATTGCCCGAGAGTGAATCAAGACTCTAAATATCATTAAATAAATATGTTGATCTATATATTATCTTCTATATTTACTTTCTTGAAGAAATCCGAGCCAGAAAGGGAATCAAGTGTTCGTTTCTACACATATGAAACAATAAATATTCAAAATAAATAAATAAAATTCTAATTTACTTCATCTTCACGTTTAAAAAAATCATTGCCTGAAAGACTATCAAGGCTCTAAATGATAATGAAATTGAAAAAAAATTAAAGATATACAAAAAAATTAACCTTTTTAAAGAAATCCGAGCCTGATAATGAATCAAGTGTACGTTTCTACAAAAGAAAATATATAAATAAATAATTCTTGACATTCTTGACTAATGATCCTTTCTAATTAAGGATTTCAGCAGTTTACACTTTATTATTTACGCTTGTTAAATGACCTAATTATAATAAAAACAAGATCGTCTTTTCTATTTAACAAAAAATTACTGAAATAAAATTCCAATGATATATGATGATCATCGAAAATGTTTTTATTAAATTGTCATATCAGATTAGATATTACGTTGAAATAGACTCCAATGCCTGAGGTCATCATTTCCTGTTTATGCTTGAAAATATAGAAGAGAAGTTTCTCTTTCTAGATTTATTCAAGCTCAACATATTGGTCAATTTTATAAGAACTCTAATGTATACTTACTTTTTCTTCTTCACCCATGGTGCCTAATTGGCATATAGTAGCTATAACTAAAGCAATAAATATTGTCGACATAGGAGCAGCAGTCATTATATAATATAGGTTAAAATAAACTCTTGAATCTTCTTTGTAAAGCAAATGTCAGTTGATGGTGTTGTTCGGTTTATATATTGTGAATTTTCCACTCTCTCTTCCGTTTTTTCGATCGGATTTTTGAGAAAGAGAGAAAGAGAAAGAGAGAGAGAGAGAGCGAGAGAAAGAAAATAATGCATTTCTCTCTATATTTGCTATGTTGCACGATCCTATTGATGATGAAGAAAAAAACTGAACCGAAAATGTGACTAGAGTCAATCATATAAGGACACTTATTAAAGATATTGGATCAATATTTATAAGGCTTAAGCAAAAAGTTGAAGGTGATCGTGATTTTTATACATTTTAAGAAAATGGAATTAGTGAGAACATTCTAGCGTTTCTGAAAACATCTTGAGAAAATCGATTAGAACAACAATCGACCATTACTTATATCTCAGATTTATTTACGTCATTCAATTTCGTTGTATTTATCGATCGTGTTTGAATATATTGTTGTCTCCGAACGGATCAATTAGTGTTTAAAAAAAATCTAGGATCTAGTTTCTTTTAAAACTACACGCGAACACCTACAATTATCATTTCAAAAGCATAGAAGACAAAAAAAACTCTACATGTATTGCTATTTCTATGATGATGTGCATTTCGGCAGGAAATGAATAAAAACATTAATGCAACCTATAAATACTTTATTGTTATTCAGACATAGGAGAACATTCTATTGGTAAAATGATCGATGAGAATACATAAAAAAAAATAAAACAAAACAATATACCAGAAAAATATATAGACCACCAAATACCGATAAAATTTCAATTCATTTTCATAGACTGAATTCAGTTGTCTGTTAACTCAAAACGAAGATATGCCAAATCGATGACACGCTCATTGATTGAGTGGTAGAGAATGAGAATAAAAAAAAAGATTTATTATTATTATAATACTACTAATAAAACGAAGACAACATAGAAGCAAATTGTTGAAAGAGATTCCTTATATGTTATTCTTCATAACTTTAAAAATCATTTCAACTACAACAATATACTATTAAAATTTGACTTTGTTGAACTACGACAATATTACTAATCCTAATGAACTCTGATCTATGAATATTTGATAATAATTGTTTAACGTCTCGATGACATATTCTCTCTGTTAATACAAATACACAAAGCCGCAAAATGATTAATAGGAACTAAAAAGAAAAAAAATTCTTGAATTAATTCTAATGGTGCTTTTTTATTGTTACTGAGTGTTAAGATTATATATGTTTTTGATATAGTAAAATATGTAACAAGAATATAACTTGTGTTAGAAGCATTGCATTCATTTACTGATCATTTTTTTTTGCTTTCTTAGACAATGTTGTAATTTATTTTGTGATGTTCTTGAACAAATTTATTGATATGTTTGTTTCATATTTTTTATTCTTCTATGATCAAAACTTAGTATAACAATGAGTAAAATTAAAGAAAAAACAACGATAGGAAATAAAATATTATGAGAAATATAATATATTCGATTAGGATAATGACAGTCTATTGAGAATTTATTTAATACTAATGAATAACAATAAAATGTTTTAATATACAATTTTGATACTTGATGAAATCCATCGATCAAAACGAACATAGACTACAAAAAAGCACTTGAAGATAATGATATGCATGCGGTGTATAATGGGAATTTACACGCAATCGTATTCCATACGATCGAATCATGATCATAACTTGAAATTAACGTTGTGAATAGATAAAGTTATAAACAGAAAATATTGGTTGTGGTTATAAAAAGAAAATGTAAAGTATATAAATTGCCTTGAAATAA